CACAGAATTTTCATGTGTCATAAACTAATAGTCTTAAAATTTTTTTTTCCCAACTGTTAAAAAAAAAAAAAAATCAGTGTTAGTCCATCACTAAGAATGGTAAAAAACAAACAAACAAACAAAAAAACAGTGTTAGCTCACAGCCTATTCCAAAACAAGCAGTGGGCTGTAATGGCCATGTTTTGCCAATCCCTGATTTTGTCTTTAATCTGTATGTTCAACTACATTGATTTATGTTTTATTTTAGATTTATTGGTTTATGTCTTATGTTTATCATTTCCTTTTTTTCTGTTTACTTTAGGTTTAATTTATTTGCCCTTTCCTAGTTCTTACCTTAGCTAATTAGTTTAAGACCCTTCGTCTTTTCTAACAAATGTATCACTGAAACATTTCTCTGTAATATCTACTTTGGCAGCAATTATCATTTAGCTGTGTAATACATTTTGATATGTTGCATTTTGTGTGATTCCATTCAAAATATGTTCTAATTTGTGTGCGTGTGAGAGTGTGTGTGAAACTTGGGTCCATTGGTTGCTAGAAGTATGCTGTTTAATTTCTAAATGCTTCGAGAGTGTCCAGATACCTATTTGTTATTTATTTCTCATTTCTATTTTTTTAATTTTTTTATTTTTTAGACGAGGCAACCCTTGGTTGACCTCTCAGATCACAAGGACCTTGTTAGCTTACAATCCCTTATTTTTTATGCCTACAGCACCTGGTCTTCCTAGGTGGTCTCCCATCCAAGTATTAACCAGGCCCGACCCTGCTTAGCTTCTGAGATCAGATGAGATCGTATTTCTCATTTCTATTATAGAGAAAATATAGGACTTGAAATTCTTATAAAATTAATGTTTTATGAAAAATGCAATATCTGAAATATATTTATTTGATGAGCTCAGTAGCAGACTGGAAGTGACAAAGGAAAGGATCATTGAAATTGAAGATAGCTGAATATAAATATTGCAATCTGAGAAACAGAAAAAAAATGAAAAAATGAACACAGCCTTAGGGATTTGTAGGACAATATCAAAAGTCTAGTGTTTGCATCATTGGAGTCTCGGTAGGAGAGGAATATTCATGTGGAAGTTCTAGCAGGAAACTCCCCAGATTTGAGGGGCACACACAATTACAGATTCAGGAAGCTCAGTGAACACCAAATACATTAGATTCAAAGAAAATCACTTCTGGATGCATTATAATTAAACTTCTGGAAATTTAAGATAAAAATTCTTGGATGTACCTAGAGAAAATGACACACCAAGTGTTGGAAAACAGTGATTCAAAAATGCGCAGATTTCTCATGGGAAACCACGGAGGCCAGAAAACATTGGAACATTTTAAAGTGCTTAAAGAAAGGAATCTTCAACTCAAAATCATATACCTAGTAAAAATGTCCTTTGGCAATGAAGGGGAAAAATGTCATACCTATGCTAAAAAGGAGTGTTAAGGGAAGATCTTTAGGCTGAATACAGATGATACCGGATAGAAACTATGAACTTAAGAAATGAAAAAAGAGCAACAGAAATAGTAAGTGGCAGAATCAAGATCGAAGCTTGGCAGCTCGATCTATAGCCTGGGTTCTTGGCCAAAACATTGCTTTCGTTAGATTGGCTAAGTGGGTTTTAGGAGATAATAAGTCTGCAGCAAAACCTATTAAAAGGTGCTCTGCAGCGGAGTGTTAAAAGCTAAGAGGACCTAGGATGCAGGTGGATAAACGACTAACCTATGGCTTGTTTTTGAAATCCCCCCTTCCTCCCCAGATAAGAATGGGCCACATTTGAAGGATTGTAAAAAGCAAAGAGGAATATTCTGCAGAGAGGGGATGTGGCCCACAAAGCCCCACATACTTACTCTCTGCCTTTGTGAGAAAAACTTGGCCAAACCCCCGCTCGAGATGGAAAGGGAAGGAGGGCCCAGGAACAGCACATGCAAGGCCTGGAGGCTTTTCAATGAGATCATGTGATTTACGGGCCTGGGGATTACAGGGGCGAGAGGGTTTGGAGAAAAAAATGAGCAGGCAGACATGGAAGATTCCTCTGCACGTGGCTTGCTGAGACCATGCTATCCTAAAGGCATCAGGCAGCCATGCACGTATTACGTTCCAAGAAAGGAACGTAATCAGACTTTATCAGACATGAAAAAAACAAGAACATTCTATAGGATGACCACTGTTTTAAACACCTGTTTAATATGAATTGCCTCATATTTTGAATTCTAAAGTCCCTTGGATGATTAGTGAGCCCTGTTGCTTGACGAAGCTGGTCAGGCAGGTTTAGACCGGAAGCCGGTCTTCATGCGAGTGTGTGAAGATACTCACTACTCACAGTGCTGCTCTTTCCTCTCAGACAGTGGGGAGCAGTGGGGGGTTAAGGCTCAGAAGGCCTGCGTCTCAGGCCCCACTCTGCCGCTGGCTTGTGTGTTCTCCAGTCATTTCTTCAAGAGCCTGGCTGGCCTGGTGGTTAATTGCAGGGGCTCAGCTTGCCAACTGCTCTTATTTGTCTTAAAGTCTGTGGTTTGCGACCTTCTCTGAACACTAGTCACCTGGGCAGTAGGAGGCTTCCATAAAAACTCGTTCTCCACAGATCCTGCCTTACAGATCTCGGACTGTGGGCCTGGGCGTTGGGGTTATTACTTTTCAAATTTATAACATGTAAATTTCAGATGTACAACTTTATAATACAACATCCGTATACTCCACTGCGCGCTCACCACCCAAAGCCTGGTCTCCTTCCGTCACCACGTGTTTGACCCCTCTACCTTCTTCATCCTCCCCCAACCCCCTCTCCTCTGGTACTGCCCTTCTGTTTATGAGTTTGTTTTGTTTGTGCGTTTGTTGCTTTCTGTTTTATATCCCACATGTGAGTGAAATCATATGGTTCTTGTCTGTTTTCATCTGACTTATTTCACTTAGCATGAAATTCAGGATCCATCCATGTTATCACAATATTTCACCTTTTAATGGCTGAATAGGATTCCACTATATATATGTACCACATCTTCTTTATTCAGTCACGGCATTATTATTTTAAAACTCCCCAGTGATACCAGTGAGCGGGCATTTTGAAAGCCACTGTCCTAGTCATTAAGAACACGGACTGAGGGCGAATAACTCTGGCCACTCCGCTCACTAAATGGATAATCATGTCCTAAACACTGAAAATCTCGATGCTTCAATATTCTCAGCTATAAAAATTGTCCCAACCTCTCGAGTGGTTGTGAGGATTAAATGAGGCAGTTTCTCTAAAGCAGGGGTCCCCAACTGCCGGGCTGCGGATTGGTACCGGTCCGTGGCCTGTTAGGAACCGGGCCGCACAGCAGGAGGTGAGCAGCAGGTGAGCAAAGCTTCATCCGTGTCTGCAGCCGCTCCCCAGCGCCAGCATCACCGCCTCAGCTCCACCTCAGATCCTCAGGCATTAGGTTCTCATGGGAGCGCCGGTCCCTGGGGCCGCAAAGGTTGGGGACCGCTGCTGGAAAGCACAGGATTTGGTGCTAGACTTGTCACCAACTTTCTGTTTCCTCATTCGCTCCGGGTACCCTCCGCCCCTCGTTCTGTTGGAGCACTCCTGTCCGCTCCGAGGGGCTAACAGCTCTGTCACCCTCCGGGGCCGAGATCGGGCCTCAGTTTCTCCATTGAGCCCATCCAGCCCCTTCTCTTATCTGGGGGCCCTTTCCCATTCTCCCAAGGGATCCTGCTTTAACTCTCCTCCGGTGTCGAAGAGTGTGTAGTGTAATTGCTGATTTCCTAATTGGTCTCCCACACGAGGCTCTGAGCAAATAGTGATCTGGGAACTACATCCCTTTTAGAAGGTGATCCATAAATGTCGGAGTAAACTCAACTCGTTTATTGCCAATTATACAACCAGGTTAATACCTGTTCTTGGAAGTTGTGCACACATTCTGTGGCTTCTGCAGCAGTGACCTTGTGGCCAGGGACTGGGGAGGGGTGGCCATGCCACTGGAGAAACAAAACCTGTCTGCAGTAGTGTTAGAAGGCTCTGCCTTATTCACAGCCCAGGATTAGCCCTCTTTGAGTTCTTTCTCTTCCACAGATGACCTTGAAGTTGCTTGGGAGCAGCAAATGAGGTTAATAACAGTAAATGTTGAGAACAGTGGATAACCTTAAAGAATAACCCAAGACATTAACCTCCTGGTCTCCAAATCCTCTCAGGGTTGGAGCACTGAGCCAGCACTTTACTCAGATGAGAAACGTAGTAGCAGAACAGGCTTCTCTGATCTTTCCTACATCCATATGGGAAGAGGGATGTGCCGTTTGAGCCTCCTCTGGCTTCAGGAAGAATATCCACCAGCCATTAAACCTTTCAGAAGGGCGGTCTCAGTGTCTAAACATATGTTATTACCCGGGCCACAGATTATTAAATAAGTAGCCATAATCTCTGCCACCCAGATGTTTTATAAGACACACTTGCAAAGACAGTTTTATCATGTAGAATAGTACCCGCTTCTCTGCAGCTGCAAGATAATAGAAAGTGTTGGTGTGGTCACAGCAGTTTTCCACTGATACTGCTACTCATCCTAATAGTCTAAAATCTTGGTTATTATCCTAATGTCGTGGATCACAGACACGAAGCATTAGAGGAGTTGATTAACTTAACCGTGGTTAGACAGAGAAAGCGGCGCAGTATATAGCAGATGCACAGCAAATATACAGCAGTGTCAGCTTTTGAAACAAATTGTCACCAGAGTCCGCTTTTTAAGCAGTGCGTTCTGCTGCCTCTCCACTCCCACCTCTCCCAGGATCAGAATGAGTACCTTGGGAGCCCCGAGGTGTGTGAGGACTGCTGGGCAGAGCTGTGCAGGCTGCCCCATGCGCTGGGCATCCTTCCAGCACAGCCTAGCGGTAGCTGGAGTCCAGCCCACCCTCTGCCTGCTAGGACGCAGGTGGCAGCGTCTGTCGGCGGGAAGGGACCCCTCCTTCCATTTTACGCAAAGATATATTTCCCCTTCTCATGGCTGCTTATTGCCTTGTTCTACCTTCTCAGGTCTCCGCCTTTCCCTAGGAAAAAAGGAGAAAATGACCAAGTTGCAGGTGAGTTGGATTTTTATTTCCGTCACGTAAAATGTTATTTCATTTCTCAGTAAGTGGACACGTTTTTTTCTTTTCCTTGGCAAGTATAAAGAATGACAGCAGGCATTTAATACCATTTATGTGACATGCTTTTTGTTTCATTTTTTTAAATTTCCTGCTTTTACTTTTTTAATCATTTTATTTCACAAATAATAGCGTAAAAGAGAATAGAAATTTAAAGGATGAAAAAAACCACACGTTATTACCCTGCTTACAAATCACCTGTTTTTTTTTCCCCACCGTCATTTTTTATGTGCATTCATAACCGTACTTGCAATAACGGATACCATTTTGAATTGGTTTTTGTTTTCACTTCAAATTATAGCACTTAAGTTTTGTCATCTAATATTATTTCAATGAACTGTGGTAGCCCCACTTTTTAACTATTTCTCATGCACAAACTTTTGAGTTCTCAAGGATTCTTACTGTTATACACTGCAGTATCCGTTTTCCTACACACAGTCTTTCCTGAAAAAGCAATTCTGAGAGAATTCTAATGTAATTTGCCCTTATGTCCCAGGGACTCAAAACTAAACTTTTTTTTTTTTTTTTTCCTAAGTGGTACCTCAGGTACTTTATAAAAAAGACTACCTAAAAGATGGTTTTGTCTAACAGGGTCATACTGAAGCTGAACTCAGAAAAAAATAGTGTTAGATGTTTTCATTACAAAAAGAGCTGGATTCTTTCTTTCCAGGACCTGAGGCTTTCTATGTGTGTGTCTGTGTATCTTCGTGTGCCTTGTGTGTGTCACCATTCTTATATTAATTTATTTTATCAGAGTATTTAGTTTAAAATTTTTTAATCATACTATGGGATGTGCAGGCACTTTCCATCTGTCACTTTATTCACTGCTCTATGGGGGACTTAGAGTCACGTGCACTATTAATATGAAGGTAAGAGGTTCACGTAAATTCAAGTTCTGCTCAGGTTCCTACAGAAGACAAGTGTCTGGCCAACTCCAAAGCCTCTGTCTTCTGGGTCAAGAATATCAGGCATATTCTGGGTGGAAGAGAAGCAGGAAAACTCTAGCCAAACCAGAGTTCTCGTTCAGAGACCGAGGCCTACGGTTGTGATGTTTGGAGCTCCAGCCAAAACAAAAGGTTCACGTAAATTCAAGTTCTGCTCAGGTTCCTACAGAAGACAAGTGTCTGGCCAACTCCAAAGCCTCTGTCTTCTGGGTCAAGAATATCAGGCATATTCTGGGTGGAAGAGAAGCAGGAAAACTCTAGCCAAACCAGAGTTCTCGTTCAGAGACCGAGGCCTACGGTTGTGATGTTTGGAGCTCCAGCCAAAACAAATGCAGTGTTGAACAGATCTTTATATAATTTCCCTACTTCCTACAGAAGACAAGTGTCTGGCCAACTCCAAAGCCTCTGTCTTCTGGGTCAAGAATATCAGGCATATTCTGGGTGGAAGAGAAGCAGGAAAACTCTAGCCAAACCAGAGTTCTCGTTCAGAGACCGAGGCCTACGGTTGTGATGTTTGGAGCTCCAGCCAAAACAAATGCAGTGTTGAACAGATCTTTATATAAAAAAATTGCCCTACAGCAGAAAGTTACAAGACAGCTATCAAAATAGAATGAAACATATTTACATGGTACATGGAAGAAAAGGCCTCGATGTCCCCAAAATGAACATTATTACAAAACAAGAACTAGAGATGACCAGTGAATATATAAAAAGTGAATCATCTTTATTACTAATGAACTTTGAAAAAATGTCAAAATAACTGGTTTTTACTTTCTAAATTACTTCTGATATTATAAAAAAAAAATTTTCTTTTAAGTATTCATGTTCAGTGTTGGCCAGGATATAGAGGTTTAGGGATTCATGCTTTCTTGGAAGAAGAATAAGCTGGAAAAATATTTTTGGAGGAAACACCTGCCATTATGATTTCAAAACTTTAAAGGTTATTATTCTTTAACATCACCATTTCTACTTTTTAAAATTCATTTTAAGGAGATAATCAACAGAGATTCAGGGACTAAGGTCTCTGTGAAAGGATTTTTTTTTTTTTTTTTGCAACATCGTTTATAATAGATGATCTAAAACTCAGTGTGCATCGCTTCTCGGCCTTTTGGCTAAGATCAAGTGTAAAACTCAGTTTGCATTATTTGGGTCAGTTTATTATATTCTAGGTCACCAATTCCTTGAATGACTATGCAGCCCAGAAATGGGATGACAGATGTGATAATAATCATCACAATAATAGCTAACATTTATTGGGTATTTCTGTGCCAAGTGCTGTTCCTAAGCGCTTTACCTAAAGTCACTCATTTTATTACCAGTCCCCTAAGGTACAGTTGTCAGCATGCAGATCAGGAGCGGATGAGGAACTTGTCCAAGGTCACATAGCCAGCATGGGGTAGAGCATTCCAGTGGGGACACAGGCAGTCAGGCTCCAGAGCTGTGCCCACCCCCACGACCGTAAGTGCTGCACGCTCTGGGCGGACCACAGAGGAAGCTCCGTATACTTGAACACTAAGGGTGGGTGGCTGACAGCCGGTGAGTTCAGCAAAGTACATAAGTGGTGTGCGCGTTTGTGTGTAAAAGGGAAAACAGACTGTCACACACTATCAGAACTAAACCTTTTGTGAAGCAAATGCTATTATTCGTTGAAAAATATTAGCAGCCCATGATGCAGCAGCGTTCCGGGGACTTACCTGTAGGTGTGCTAAGAAAAGGTAGCAATTTAAAGTGCAAGGATTTCTTTTGGGAGCCCTTTTGGTGGATGGGATTAGCAGTGTGGAAGGCAAACAGGGGGCAGTTACTTCAATTTAACTCGGGCTCCTCAGAACGGTTTTCCATCCTTCGCACTTTCGCTGTGCTTTCCCCCTTCCATAAACGTGGCCTGTGTGTGCTTGGCGTTGTAGGAGACAGTGACATTCAAGGACGTGGCTGTGGTCTTCACGGAGGAGGAGCTGGGGCTGCTGGACGCCGCCCAGAGGAAGCTGTACCGAGACGTGACGCTGGAGAACTTCAGGAACCTGGTCTCAGTGGGTGAGGATGGGCGGCCTCTGTCACCCAGTGTCAGCCTCCCGGGCTGTCTGTGTGCTCAGCTGTTTGAAGCTCTGGGGCTCCTGAAATCGTTCTCCGAGCCTGGGCACCTGAGAGTCTTAATCATCCCTGTGCAGCACAAACGAGATGTTTCTGATGTTATCGTCCAGGCAAAGATCTGTCCTTTGAACTCTAAGTGGGCGTATTGTGGCCCTGCCCCATCCGTTTGGCGTGAAATCAGTTGAGCGAGTTGCTCTAGCCTTTTTGTTTCTCGGGCGTACCAGTAACTGTTTCTTAACTTGATTTTTTAGAAGCATTTTGTTTTTTGCTTTAACAACATATCCGTACGTAACTTCAAACTTACAGATCATTTACAAAAGTAAAAATATAGGAGGAGGAACGCCCATAAGCTTTCCCCTGGCTTCCCATGTGGTAACGTTTACACCTTTGCTTTATCATTTATAAAGCTCGTGTTTTCTCCCTCCATATAGTTTAGGGATGTCTATGAAAACATACATATACTCATAATATTTTGTCTGAACCGTTTGCAGGTAATTTACATTACCCGCACCATGACCCTTTATCTCTAATTATCTCCACGTACATGCAGAACTCTGGGGTCCCCAAGACTGCACCCTCTCTGACACCAGTTCGGGGGTCCACAGGACTCCCTCGGGCTTGATATTAGCTAGAAAGGCTCTCAGAACTCACTGAAAGCTGTTATCCTCATGCTTACAGTTTATCAATTTAAGGAAACAGGTTAAAATCAGTCAGCAGAAGAGGCACTTGTTTATCAGTTTAAGGAAACAGGTTAAAATCAGTCAGCAGAAGAGGCACAGTTTAAGGAAACAGGTTAAAATCAGTCACTTGTTTTATCAGAAGAGGCACTTGTTTATCAGTTTAAGAAAACAGGTTAAAATCAATCAGCAGAAGAGGCACTTGAGGCAGAGTCCAGGCGTTTCCAGCACAAACTTCCGGTTGTCTTCTTCCTTAGAGTCGTGGACGGCGCCGACTCTCCCCAGCAGTGACATGTGACAGTGCACACGGAGCACTACAGCCCGAGCCTGGGTGTCTAGAGCTTTCACTGGGGCTCGGACAGTCAGTGGAGATGTAGTTGGATACCTGTGTGGCCAACTGTAGTTTCCAGCCCCTCTAGAAATCAAGCTGGTAGCACATAGCCCCAAGACCCTGTTGTAAACCACAGTGTTAAATTATCTGGTGTCACCTAAGGCCCCCAGGTTAAAAAAAAGACACTCTCATCAGGCAGGACATTCCTGGGGCTTAGAGATCACCTTCCAGGAGCCAAAGGCAAAGACCAGACCCCTCTTTGGGCAAGACGAATTCACCAGTTATCTTGTAGGAAGAAGTACATTCTTTGATGTATCCCCAGTGTAGATAAAATACTGGGACGCGGCCTGTCACGTGCTCTGATTTTATCGTAGAGACAATTACATTCCTCACAGCACGTTTGTCGCCCTCCAGAGCCAGACCTGGTCTGGAGTCCAGTCTCGCCGTCACGTCTCCAGCCCCCTTGAATCAGGAACATTTCCACGGCATTTCTTTATCTGTTACGACAGTGCCATTTTCGAAGGATACAGTCGTTCCTTCCCCCCCATTTTTAATAGAACATTCTTAACATTTCCTCATAATTAGGATCAGATGGTCCTTTCCGGCTGGAAGTCTACGTTGGTTTCGCTTTGCGCTTTGGAGGGTATCACGTCTCGAGGGACGCCAGCTGTCCCTGCCTGGTGATGTTCGCTTAGATCACCCACTCAAGATGGCCAGTTTCCCCACTCTAAAATCAGTGCTTTCTTTCTTTCCTTTTGCAATCACAGGGCAATGCTTTTTAACACCGCATAAATATTTAGCATCCAATGATGCTTCTTGCCTTGTCCAGTCTTTGCCACGATACTTATCAATGACGATTTTCTGACTTAGAACTTCTTTCGCGTTTAGCAGTCGGCATTTGGCATTCTACAGTGAGCTGGACCACCCCCCGCCAAACACACTTCTCAATCATTTATTTATTTTTTGTTTGTAGGGACTTATGAATTCTTTTTTTAAATGGCTTATGATTTATTGCTGTAATTATTTGGGTGCTAAAATTGTCCCAGATCTGGCCCCTTTAGCTGACTCCTATGCCCTCATAATAGGCCCTAACATTTTTTTAACACTTCCTTACTTTACGCTCATCTTTTAGTTTGTACTAGTTCTGGAATCTTCCATTTCTTTATTAGAGAATGGTAGTTAACACCAAGGTCTTGATGTTGCCAGTGTGATATTTTGTTTCTTGGTCTCAAGAGATAGAGCTAGGAGGTAGGGATGTGTGTGTGTGTGTGTGTGTGTGTGTGTGCGCGCGCGCACATACATATGCACACACATGTATTCATAGGTATACACAAAAACGTGTATATACCTATGAATACAAGTTCAATTTCATTCAAAATAAGAGAAATGTTAATTAAAATTATACCAAAATACCATTTTTCACCCATGAGATTGGCAAAAATTTTTAAACTTAATACGATGCCTTTTTGGGCAAAGCTGTGGGGAGTAAAGCATTTTCATACATTGAAAGTAGGAATGCAAAATGATATATCCTTCAGGATATATGTTCATGAGGGGACTTTGACAATATCCAGCAAAATTATATGTTTATCCTTTTCCAGCAATTCACTCCTAGGAATTTTCCCTAAAGATAGCAAAGTGCAAAAGAGCATTAATAACATACTACAATCTCTATAAAAAAGAAGGGGAAATACATAAATGTATGTATTTCTGTCTACGGCCATGCCACCCTGAGCAAGCCCGATCCCGTCTGGTCTCGGAAGCTAAGCATGGTCGGGCCTGATTAGTACTTGGATGGGAGACCACCTGGGAAGACCAGGTGCTATAGGTGTAAAAAATAAAAAAATAAAGGATTGTAAGCTGACAAGGTCCTTGCAATCTGTGAGGTCAACCAAGGTTTGCCTCGCCTAAAAACAAACAAATAAACAAATAAATATGTATTTCTGCTTATTCGTATAAGAAGAAACACAAGAATCAGAAAATCACAAAGTTAATTTCTTACAGCGAATGGAGGTAACAGTATGGAAGGAATGTAGGAGAGAGTCACACCTGTCCAAGTATACCTTTTTGTCTAGTTTGGACTTTTGAAAATATATTACTTCAACATATTATAAAAATTAAATCAGAATACAAAGGGATGATAATCTAAAACTAAAAGAAAAATGGAACAAATGAACTTGGTCATATTTGAAATTACTACCATAACCACACTGAAGAGAGAAAAGAAAGAACTCATGTAGTTAAGAAGGAACACAGTATTTAACTACATGCCCTTAGTTTTAGGTACAGCGGGCGGGGGATGGGAGAATGAATTGTGATCCCGAACATGTTATTACATGGGTTTGTTGTAGTGGTATGTGGAAGGGGCAATTCTGAAACTATTTTACGTGTATTACAGGTACCAAGGTGATTCAATGGAGATGGTATAGTTTTTTCAACAGGTGGTGTGGAAACCTCTGGACAGCTGTACATATCTATATACCTGCCTCACACCTCATGAAAAAATTAACTCAAAGTGGGTGAGACCTAATGTAAATCTAAAAGTATGAAACTCCTATTAGGAAACATAGGTGCAGATCTTCATGAACTTGAGTTAGGCCAAGGGTTTGTAGATAGGACACCAAAAGCATGAATCAAAAGAAAGAAAAAAAATTGGACTTCTTCAGAATTTAAAAGTTTTGTTCTCGTCGCCTTTTTATAGGGAGTCAGCCCCTCAAACCAGACCTGATATTCCAGCTGGAGAGAGAAGAAAAGCTTTCAAGGGTGGAGACAGAAACCCAGAGAGATGGGTGTTCAGGTGAGAACCATCCAGCGGTAACCCAGCAGCCAGAGCCCCTCCTCAAACGAGTCAGAACATGTCCCTTCTCCATTTAAACTCTCCAGTGGCTTCCTAGTCCACGCATAGGAAAATCTAAAGTACTTAAAGTGGCCCGTTAGCCCTTAAGGTGCCTGTCCTCTCAACCCCTCTAGCTTTCCATATTCACCTCTTATCATTTCTGTTCGCTCATTCATTCTGATCCAGCTGCACTGCCCCATCGCTGCGCATCAGACCTGCCAACTATGCTTCTGCTTCAGGGTCCTCGACTTGCATTTCTCTGTGCCTTGAATGAATGAATTGGTTAATAGATTCACGGTCTTCACTGTCATCAGCCTTCCTTGAGCTAGCTAGTAGGTATAGAATAAATCGGTGTCGTCAAAGGATACTGCAGAATGTTGTTTGTCATCTGATGAATGCCTGTCCTAATTCTGTTAGGTGTCCTTGAGTATTCATACATAGGTAGCCATTTTTCCTGAAAGGTTAAGAATTGCCAACTAGAGTGAGTATCAAACGTGATCAGTGCCAACATTATGATTGACTCTTCCCTTGCAGCAAGTGTGACACTTTCGGATTGTTGGCAACTTCCTTATTCATATGTCCGGCTCTTTATCTTCTCATTCTGTCCTCTCCTCTCACCTTCCCATCCTCTTAACACCTATATAGTCTCTCGACCTAGCTACAGTTTTGAAGTGGAATTTTCAAGTTGGTCATTTATGTGAGTCTCAACATTCTGGTAATGTTTCTTGGATTCCCAAGACTCTGACATCAAAAGCCACTATCACAACCATAGCTGGGGATGCTGCTGGGTAGGAAAGAGTCAGTAGACTATTTCTAAACAAATTACTTCACTTCTATAATATTTCGTGGCCAGCTCAGTTACGATTCGGGGTAATATATGGTGCAATACACTCTTTAGAGCAGGAGTCAGCAAACTTTTTCTCTAAGGGTCCAGATAGTGAATATTTTAGGCTTTGCCAGCCACATATGGTCTCTGTCACATATATTCCTTTGTTTTTTTTCTTAAACCATTTTTTAAAATAAACAACTATTCTGAGCTTCTGGGCCATATAAGAACAGACCTAAGGACAGAGCATGCCTGTCCCGCTGCCTGATAGCATCAGTAGGAACATAATGTCACATTTTAAAATACCTTATTGAATTTTTTCTGTATACTGACAGATTTATAGCAATTACTGTAGCCTTATAGTAATGCAAAAACTTGATAACGTATATTCTTATTTTTAAGATACTAATTTGTCTCTCTCATGATACTTTGGAGAAATCCATCCCATTCTAATATTGTAACTTTTTTTGTCGTGGCTGCTTGATATTCTAATACGTGGCTGTAATATACCTGTTTCAGCCATTTCCCATTTGCAATTCATGAATGTTAGCTTTTTTTTTCCCTTTTTTTTTTTAATCTAATATAGAAAGTACAGCAATAAAATGTCCTTGGATACTAACGATATTTCTATGGAACAAATTACCTGGTGATTCAGAAATTCATAGATAAAAAACATGCCTTTCTGAGCTTTAACTTTGAAGTTGTAACCAAAGGAACATAATCACCCCCCATTGGCTTTCCTGCAGCCTGTAGGAACTGACTTAATTGACGTGGGCAAAGAAACATTTTAAAAATGAGGATTCTTACAACCACTGTTTTGGCAGGTCTCCTGTAGGAGAAATATGTCCATTTCCATTTACACTGGGAAAGAAAAAGATGTCAATAAACAACAACTTCTAAACTATCTCTGCTAATTCGCAAGATTTCCTAGTTACAGCCCATCCATCTCTTCAGAAGTCAGCTCCACGTTAGGTTAACTAGTTTCCCTTTTCCCGTGCCAGGCAAGGAAGATTCCAGGTCAAAGAAACATGACATGTAAAGAGTAGCAGCTTTTTTTCAAGTGATAATTTGTTTCTTATATTTTGAAACTTCAGGTATGCATGAAACCAAGGTACAAACCTACCTATTCATATTTTCCTAAGTTTCCATATTTGACCTTTGCATTTGAGCCTTGTACTTGTTTTAATCACGAATTTTATACTTTCCTTAACTATTTAGACCAGTGGTTTTTCACCTTTTTGGGCCATGACCCTCACCATGTAATATAACCCAGTACAGACCTGAGAAGCATACACGTCTGCATATTTGAAGCAAGCATTTTGTGCAGTGATAATCCTCGCATGCAACGCACCTCTGATATTTTCTGTCCTTTTTTAAAATTGCATCTCACGATCCACTATATTGATTTCAGGCTTCACTAATAGTTCCCCATCGTTTATCGTCTCACGCTGTTATAGGCCCTACATCCAAAAGTCTATATCTAGCAATATCCCATAATCTATTTTCAAAAATACAATCTTCCCCACCAGCTGTTAAATTTTGTATTTGGAAAGTGGTAAGAAAAATGATTTTACTTATAATAAAACAGATGATTTGTCATCCATATCTACCTGTCCGTCCACGTAAGCAAAGAAAATCTATTTTCGTGGAATTGCCTAGTTAATTCTGTCAGAGGTGGAGAGTCAGCATCCCATTAGAGCCACCTGCGGCTGTTGCTGAGATAAGGCATCATGGTCCCCAAAGGCTCTGAAAAATGATCCTTTGCCAGCATGATTCTTTAACACTTCTGGTCACTGCTGATGCAATCACAGGCTCCCATCTGGATTGGAGAGCAGTTTCTGGTCCAGAAGGTCAGGTGGACATCTCCACACCATCGAAAACATCATTGGCCTAGAAACCAAGGGCTCCTGGGCTTTTCTTTTTCCCCCCACAGCAAATCATTTGATTTTCTTTTCCAAAGCCATCTCTAATTGTACACAAACCACCCACTTCATTAAGCAGGAGATCCTCACTGAGTAATCTCCATCTCACAAGTAACAAAAGTGCTCCTGTAACTTATCTTGCTCGTTCTTCTGTGTCCTTTTAGTAATTTCTGGTTCCAGCTAGATCTGAATTTACTAAACATTTTAGGAAAGTATTTGGCAATTTTTATTTCCTCCACGGGAAGAGACTAGAAAGCAGCGACCTCCATGTCAGCACACAGTACAATTTCTGGCGATGTGGTACACCAAACCCACAGAGAGGGCTGCTGCTTCTCAATAGGGATGCACTACCATGTTCTCGTTAGCAAATCCTTGTAGCTAAACAGATCTCGATCCCTCCCAGTTTGTATGTCTAGCTCCTGGCTCTTAGAAAGTCTGGGGACAGAATGACAAAGTGCAAGGCAGATGGCAAGGTCTTGACAGGAGGCATGTTGTGAGATTTTTATATCTCTCAACCGCACACTCATCAGGAGCAGCTTGGGCAGAAGTGTGTGCACGTGTGTATGCGTGTATGAGCATGCACACCACATACATACACACACACACACACAAACACAAACACATACACACCCCTCCTCCCACGAAATGGCACAGTTCATCTGAGTCTGATGACTCTTCCAGTGTCCTGAGGGACTCTGAGAGTGGTAGCACCATTTGGGCACCTTTAGGAAACCCAGAAGATGAACTTTCCTTCCAATTAAGACCAAAGTATTTCCAGAACATATATTAAGCTCTTTCAATATTGAAGCTTCTCTAGCTTTAGCACTAATCCTTTTTTTTTTTTTATGCTGTGAGTCTACCGGGAGAGTGAGATTTCTCCAGCATTATCTTTAAACAATCTCTCACAGATATTGTTTCTTCTACTCTGATCTTCTCTGTCCCGAGTTGAATGTCATTTCCCACAGTGAAAAAGAGGAATAGCTGAATAGATGTTTTCCTAAGAGACTGTCCCTAAGCATTCCTCTTCTCTAATTCTGCTTCTTTTAGGGTAAAATTATCTAGCGCTGAACAAAAAAACCTTTCCTTTACTATCTATCAGCAGGTCTCGGAGAGCTGTTCTCATCTGTTTCTGTTTCCTTCAACAATTTCAGTTCCTTTATGGCTTAATTAGAATATCAAAACAAACATCACTGTCTTAATTGTTGCTTCAGTTGTAACTTTATATGTTAACGTAACCTTAACTAAAACTTAAATTTTAACACAACCTTTCATTGGATATTTTGCGATGTCTTACGTGTGCCAATCAGATGTTGACCAGGCATTACAATTTCTTGCCAAAATTTCCTTTTTCGTAGAAAATTTACTACATTTGCATTAACTAACCGAAGACGTAAAGAACATATGGATAAAAATGGCATGCTGCTAATGATATATGACAAATCTGCTTTAAAAATTATATATATGCTTAATCACTTTTTTATTACAATATTTAGATGACTTTTGTCATTAATAGGGGTTCTGACATCTGATCTCTGGCCAATTTTATGATATAAGACAAAAAGCAGTCGTTTTCTGCATTTCACTTCTTTGGCCCCATTTACATAACCCTGTTCTTGTTTTCATAACATGGTATATTTTCCCTGTGGACTAAGTTAAAACGATAGCTTGGTAGCATGGAGTTGAACTTGGAGTCATTGTCAGTGTCCATTATTTACAAGATAGAATGCTTCTTCTCAAGCTCACATGAAATGTTCACCAAGAGAGACCACATCCAGGGCCAAAAAACACACTTTAACAAATTTAAAAGAATGAAAACCATAAAAGTCTGTTCTCAGACCACTGTGGAATTAAACTAGAAATGAATAAATTAAATAACTGGAAAATCCCAAAATACATGGAGATTAAACAGCACACTTGTAAATAACACATGGGTCAAAGAAGAAATCTCAAGAGAAATTTACAAATATTTTGAACAAAATGAAAATGAAAATACAACTTATCAAAATTTGGGCGATGCAACGAAAGCAGTGCTTAGAGGAAAATTTGTAGCATTCAATGCATGTAGTAGAAAAGAAGAAAGATCTAAAATTAATCATCTAAGCTTCTATCTTAGGAAACTAGAAAAAGAAGAGCAAATTAAATCCAAAGTAAGGAGAAGACAAGAATAAGAATTGGAGCAGAAATCAATGAAATTGAAAATAGGAAATCAACAGAAAAACAATGACACCAAAAGGTGGTTCTTTGAAAAGATGAATAAAATTGATAAGCTTCTTCCATGCTAACTAAAAAAAACAGAGATAGAGGATACAAATTACTATTAGAAATGAAAGAAGGGACATGACTACAGAATCTATGGGCATTAAAAAGATAATAATATGAACAAATTTTGTGGCCACAGATTTGATAACCTTGATGAAATGAACCAATACCATGAAAAACAGTTTGTCAAAACTTACACAAGAAAAAATAGACAATCTGAATAGGCCTATATCTGTTAAAGAAATTGAATCAATAATTAATAATCTTCTAAAACGAAAGGATAGAACTCATTCAGTTGTGAGGAAAAGAAGTAAAAACAGGAAGTATTCTAAAGGTTAAAATACTCTGATGAAGAGAGAGAAGCCCCAGATATGGTTAAGAGAGTAGTCTGCACAGCAGCTTAGGTATTAGTCTGTAATCAAAACATTTTTGTTTCTGTATCTTCTACTGTCCAGAAAATGCCTTTCTCCTTGGGTTCTCCAGGCAACTAGTAATAAACCCATGATAATACTCATATGGTTTTACTAGGCCTTTTGAATAGGGCCATAGTGTTTGTGTTGCAAAGCCCTGATTTCAAAGTGTATAAATAGCCTGAAGTATATGATAAAGTAGAAGAATAATTCTACTTTATATTCAAAGCCAAAGAAGAGCTATTTCTAAGTATTCTTAGAGGTGGTAACATGAATTTTCCTCTGGTTCATTGAAGTTTCATGCCATGACATAAGTGTAAAATCTTGAAATCGCTGAATAAAAGCACTTTACTTGTGCGCATGTCTAAATTCTCTTTATCCTTATAGGAACCAAGAATCAACATAATATGGAGAGTATTCAAGACGTAGGATTAAGCTACTTTTCCCCCGAAGACCTTTCCACCTGGCAGTCCTGGCAACAGTGTGCAGGCGGATTACCCAGGTGTCAAGATGCCATGAAAAACTTTCGAGGGAATATTTCTAAGTTGGAAAATCAAGGTGATTCCCCATGTCAGGTTTGGACAGGAATACCAGTTCGGATTTCTGAAGATGGGAACTATACATTGACTCATATAAGAGATGTTTCCAGTTACACAAAAAATCAAGAATTTTCACCTTGGCGAGCCCAGAATTCTTGGAGGAAAATGTATCTGATAGGGTCACATAATTATAAGTGTAGATGTCAGCAAATTTCCATGAAACATAACTTCTGTAAGTGTGACAGCGTCAGTTGTATCTCACATCACAACGATAATCTGGGAGTACACAGAACAGAAAAAAACTACAGTTGCCATGACTGTGGAGAAGAAATCATGAAGGTTTCATTGCTTAATGAAGACTTAATTCAAACAGGGCCAAAGCCTTTCCCCTGTGATGAGCACAGAACAGCCTTCCGCGATGACATTCACTCTGAGTTTCATCAGCAGTTACACTTAGAAGGGGAGTCCCGTGCATACAGCCTACAAGGAAAGGGCTGTGGTTATACTTCAGTTCTTCATTTTCACCGAAGGGTTCATAGAGGAGAGGTTTGCATGTTTGAGAGTTCACATCTGCCATCCCATCAGAGAATATATACAGAGGAGAAGCCATGTCAGTGTGGGTGTGGTCAGAACTTTAACCGGCGCTCCTCCCTTCACACTTATGAACTTATTCACGCGGGAGAGACAGCCTGTAGATGCAACATTTATGAGAAAACCTTCAGTCATAGCTTAGATCTTAATAATATTTTTAGGGTTCGTACTGGGGGGAAACACCATGAATATGAGGAGAATGGGAATGTCTTTAATCTGAGTTCTTGTCTTCAAGTTCATCAGAAAATCCACGCTGAAGAGAAACTATACACAGATGTGGAGTGTGAAAAGGGTTTCATTTGTAGCTCAAATCTTAACCTTCAGCACAGAGTTCACGTGGAGGAGAGTCCCTATAATTCTGAGGGCTGTGATAATGGCTTCGGTCTGGCCTCACATTTTCAGGACCTTGAGATAGTTCACACTAGGGAAGAACCGTGCAAACGTTATACATGTGGTAACAGCTTCAGCCCAAATTCCTATCTTCAAGGCCATCAGAAAATTCACATTGGAGAGAAACCTTACAAGGAGTGTGGGAACGGCTTCAATTGGAGTTCTAAACTTAAAAATCATCAGCGAGTCCACCCTGGAGAGAAGCCGTACAAGTGCAATGCTTGTGGTAAAGGTTTCAGTCACAGGTCAGTTCTCAACGTCCATCAGAGAGTTCACACAGGAGAGAAGCCTTATAAATGTGAAGAGTGTGATAAGGGCTTCAGTCGGAGTTCGTACCTTCAAGCCCATCAGAGAGTCCACACTGGAGAAAAACCGTACAAATGTGAGGAGTGTGGGAAGGGATTCAGTCGCAATTCATACCTCCAGGGCCACCAGAGAGTTCACACTGGAGAGAAACCATACAAGTGTGAGGAGTGTGGGAAAGGCTTCAGCCGGAGTTCACACCTTCAAGGCCATCAGAGAGTTCACACTGGAGAAAAACCATTCAAATGTGAGGAGTGTGGGAAGGGATTCAGTTGGAGCTTTAATCTTCAAATCCATCAGAGAGTCCACACAGGAGAGAAACCCTATAAATGTGGAGAATGTGGTAAGGGATTCAGTAAGGCCTCAACTCTTCTGGCCCATCAGAGAGTTCACACAGGAGAGAAGCCATACCACTGTGATGAGTGCGGTAAGAGCTTCAGTCAGAGATCGTACCTTCAAAGCCATCAGAGTGTCCACACTGGAGAGAGACCGTATATATGTGAGGTATGTGGGAAAGGCTTCAGCCAGAGAGCGTATCTTCAGGGTCATCAGAGAGTCCACACTAGAGTGAAACCATATAAATGTGAGATGTGTGGAAAGGGCTTCAGCCAGAGTTCACGCCTTGAAGCACATCGGAGGGTCCACACAGGGGGGAAACCATACAAGTGTGAGGTGTGCACGAAGGGCTTCAGTGAGAGTTCACGCCTCCAGGCCCATCAGAGGGTCCACACAGAAGGGAGGCCCTATAAGTGTGAACAGTGCGGTAAGGGTTTTAGTGGGTTTTCAAGTCTTCAAGCTCATCACAGAGTCCACACCGGGGAGAAACCATATAAATGTGAGGTGTGCGGAAAGAGGTTCAGTCAGAGATCAAACCTTCAGGCCCATCAGAGAGTCCACACAGGAGAGAAACCATACAAATGTGACGCGTGTGGTAAGGGCTTCCGTTGGAGCTCAGGTCTTCTGATTCATCAAAGAGTCCATAGTGGCGATAAACTCTATAAAAATGAGTACGGTAAGGACTATTCTTCATCAGAGAATCCATACAGAAATTAAGTTATGTAAAATGGTATTATCTTTTGGTTTGGTTTTGTTTTGAAGTCCTCAAATGGGACCTGAATTTTCCCATTCACTGGAGTTCTTACAGTAGAAAAAGAATTTCTTCTGTGAAAATATAATGTTTTTACCCAACCTCAATATTTACAGTAGTCAGGAGACCATACAGCAGCGACATCTAATGAGAGGGTTTCCATAAGTGATTTTGTCATAACTGTAACATCAGTGATCACACGTGACTTTAACTAGGCACCAGGGCTTATAAAAGATAAGTGTATGGTCAGAAATTTAACAAAAATACAGTGGTGAGTATGCCTAAATCCATGTCCGCTGGAATGTAAGCCTAGTGAGGAGCCTTGTTCACTGCTAAGTCTAAAAGCCATGACATCGCATAACTCAGTGTAGGTGCTCAGTACTTTTGCTAGATAACTAAAAGTGTGTAAAGGTATCATGTTTGAAATTTTTATTAAGTTCGTTCCCCCCTCCCCCCAAAAAATTTTAAATGTATTTGGAGAAGGAATCATGCAAGTAACCTTAATATAAGCACTTCAGTTAGATATTATTTGAAATGTAGAACATTGAGCAATATTGCAATCTGAAATTACATAAATTTGGTTGTAACCCTGTTGGGATTGGCTGTTGTCCTTTGTCTCGTCTTAAGCAGGGATGAGCTGAATTTCTTACCATTTGGTCTCTTTCTGTATACCATCAGTTTAAGTTTAGGGGTGTGTGTGTGTGTGTGTGTGTGTGTGTGTGTGTGTGTGTGTGTGTACACATATGTGCACTTTAAATGACAATGCAAACTGATAAACAATGTTTCTGGTTAACTTTGAAAAAACGGAACACTGCATTTTACATAATCGAATTTTTACTCCTGCTCTGTGTGTTAAGGCAAAATTTTACTGTAATATTTGGAAAGTGTCAGAAATGATTACTAATGAAAAATACTTTCTTAATAAATGTCAAAATTATAATAGTTGGTTTTTTAGTCTCCGTATTTCCATCAAAGTCCTTTTGATCTGACTGATTTCTAAGAGTTATAGCCCTTGTCCAATTTAAAGCTCCTTAGGCAAGACCCGTGACAAGTTTGGAGGACTTTTATTTTGTCGAGTTCTCCATCCCCACCCGTACTTCTCCCACTCACACAAAGAAAGGAAAAATCTTGAATTTTTCTAAATATTTTATCAAACGTTGATTATGAAGATAGGATTGTCTTTTTCTTGGTAGCGTGTGTTCAAGAACAATGTATTCTGTTGGTGAGAGTGAAAAATGTCTGTTAGAGAAGAATCATATAATATATGTCAAACTGTAAAACGTGCATACCCATCTGGAAATCACAGAATAATAATTTATGATAAAATAGTGAGAAGGGATGGGTACAGTGAGGGTAATTTTTTTTTTGTTTAATAATTTTTATTGTTTCAGTTATGGCCAACGTACAGTATTATTCTACGATCTTGGCCAGAACTCAAGGGTAATTTTTGAACTGGAAATAGGAGTTTGAATAAGTTTCTCTATGTTCCTATAAGATGGAACTCCAGAAAGTGTAGAATTGATCTATAATGATAGAAATGGATCATGCATAGTGTTTAGTGAAAATGTGCATTGTACCTTCATAATACCCAGTACTTACATCTATACATATGTTTAAATACATGCTTAGAGATAATGTATGAAAGATTACTCACCGTCATGTATACAGTGGTTTTCTCTGGCAGGCATTTTTGGCTTAGTCTTTTCTTTTTTATACTTCATTTAAAAACTTGACAGTTAACATCGACCAATTTTACCAAAGTAATAAACTACTGAGTTATTCGTCCCTATATGTAAGAACTCATGCTGTCATTGCTCTATTTCACCAGATAACATTAAAGAATAAAACCTCTGAAATGAATCTTCAAAATTCTCTAGGTTTTTGATACAGACAAATTAGGTGTCAGCAACTTTATCTTTCTGTGAAATTTCTTTAGGTCTCAAAACCCATGCAGCCTAGAATGTCCTAGTGAAATTCAGTAGCACTGTAAATCGGTGCATCCTAGTCTTTCTGTCAGGTTTCCCCCTGTTGGATGAATGGGGTGACCAAGGCCCTGGCTTAGCCTGGCTTCCAATGCGTTAGTTCAGGTTTCAGTGTCATGGGAAGTCCAGTGCGTCTAATGTATTTCTTTGCTACCATCATTTCCCAGGGAAAATCATGAGCGCTCATGGTGGTTTTATCAGTTAGGATTCTTTTAGCTGTAACACAAAATGTAACTTAGAGTTGTTTAAACCAAAAATATTTCTGAATTCACATAACTATGAAAAGATACAGGCTGAGTTAAGACTTGGATCTGGGTCAGAGAGGCTTTATGTGACTTTTCTTAAATTCTGTCCTTTTGTGTGAACTCTTGTCTTCAGGTTGCTCACAAGATGGCAATATCACCTGCTTTTTTGTTCACAGCTGGGGAAGAGAGCTGCTGTCTCATTTTTAGTGTAATGCTTTCCTAGCTCCCCCAATGCGTAACATGTCTGACCTCTCCAGTCCCCACTCAAAACTGAGACTAAACCAAGGCAATAAAGAATATCCCTGGCTCCCCTAAATAGGCAAGTTTGCTCCTGGTGACAAGCAATAGCAGGTTACATTGGGAAAATAGCAAGAACACGGACAGCGAATTCTTCTGTGGCGAAGGTGCCAAAGGCCAGGATGGAACAGAAACATCAAGAAAAATTCTCCATCACTCCAGCTCCCATGCTAAGCACAAGGTAATATTAGAAAAATTTGAAGTGTAGTAAAGGTAACTATTGAAACAACAGAATCCAATTCCAACCTTATTTCTGGCCAGATCAATTCAACACCCCACCCTAACATCCTAGCAGAACATGTGTGCCCAGGTGCAAGCAAAAATACTCTGCTCCAGTCTCTACTGTTTGATATGTGTTATCTGGCATTCAAGCAAGAATTACAAGATTAAAAAAAAAAAACAAAAAAACCCTCTGCAAAGGGATAGCAGAGTAATCAATAAAACCACACTTAGAGGTGACTATATTTTGGAAGTGTCAAAACAGAATTTTATATAACTGATTGAGGTGTTAATGGTCTCGTGAAAAGGGCAGGCCATATACATGAAGAGATGGATTTCAGTGGAAATTAATAAAGAATCAAACGGGAAATGCTAAGAAAGAAAATTTATCACATAGGATGCTTTTTTGAAGGACTCACAAGTAGGCTGGACACAGCTGAGAAAAGTATCAGAGAACTTGAATAAAGGTCAATTACAATCATCCAAACTAAAACAAAAAGTATGAATAAAACAAGAGAGTATCCAAGAACTGAGGGGAAACTTTTTATGGTCTAATATATGTATAATTGGAAACCTAGCAGGAGAGGAGAGAGATAATAAGAAAAGTAGTTGAAGAGAGAATGACTGAGAATTTTCCAGAAAGAATAAAGGACTTCACTCAGATCCCAGACCTCAGAATACCCAAGCAGGATTTTAAAATAACAAATAAAATAGACACATCATTACCAAACAACTGAAAATGAACAACCAGAAGGAAATATTGGTGGCAGACAAAAGATACATTGCATACTAGGAACAGAGGTGAGAAAAAGAACAGACTTCTCATTTAAAACCATGCAAACCGGAAGACAACGGAGTAACATCTGTAACATTCTGAAACAAAATACTGTTAGAAATTCTCAGCCCTGTGAAAAAATCTTTCAAGAAATATGCACAATAAAGACATTTGCAGATGAACAGAAGCTAATAAAATTCACTACCAGTAAATCTGCACTACAAGAAATATTAAAGGAATTTCTATAGGCAGGAAGAATATCATACCAGAAATAGCCTTGGATCTACCAAAAGAAATGACTTTGAAAATGGTTAAAATAGAAGTAAATATAATTTTTAAAAAACTTTTAATCACTCAGAATGTAATTCACTAAACCAAAAATAGGAGCAAGGTTTTGTGAATTGGTAGCATATATAAAAGTAAAATATATTGTAACAATACCACAAAATGGGGCAGAGAGAAATTGGAGGTCTGCTATTCTACACTACATGAATTGGTATAATATGATTAGGAGGTAGACTAAAAAATTGTGGATGCATGTTATAAGCCCTAGAGCAACCATTTTTTAAAAATTTAAAGTGGTATATAACTGATAAGCCAGTATTGGAGATAAAATGGAATCACACACACACACAAGAAATAATCAAAAAGCTGACAGGACAGGAAAATTGAGCAAATAACACATGGTATAAATGGGAAACAACATGATAGTGGGTTCAAATTCAGTGATATCAATAATTATATTAAATGTAAATGTTCTAAGCACAGCACTTAAACATTGTCAGGTTGGATTAGAAGGCAAGACCCATTCTTTGGTCTCAGCAGCAGAAGTGAGATGATGAAGGGAACATCATCCAGAAATCATCACAGTAAGACATATGTTATGACACCACTGTGGCTCTAAGGCCATGTTCAGAAGTCTACCTGTGGCCAATGTGGCTACCCTGCCAAGGGTACTTCTGCCAAGAAGAAGAAAAAGTATAACTGGAGTGCCAAGGCTAAAAGATGAAATACCACTGGGAATGGTCAAATGAGGCACCTAAAAATTGTCTACCACAAGTTCAGGCATGGATTCTGTGAAGGAACAACACCTAAACCCAAGAGAGCAGCTGTTGCAGCATCCGGTTCATCTTAAGGATTTCAACAATCAATCATGCAATAAATGTTCTTGTTTTAATAGATGATAGATAGATAGATAGATAGATAGATAGATAGATAGATAGATAGATAGATAGATAGAGATGGATGGATAGATGGATGGATGATAGCAGTACTCAACTATGTGCTATATGTTTTCTACAAGAGACCCTTTTTAAAATAAAGAGGTTAAAAGTCTAAAGATGGAGGCCTTTTGAACCACGCTTCTCTTGCTCAGGACTGCTTCCACGTCTGGAAGTGTACTACTTTCCCTTCTCATAAAGCTTTCCTTTTCTGCTGTAAAAAACAAACAAAAACGTCTAAAGATGGAAAAAGGTATGCCATGCTAAAACTAGTCAAAAGAAAGGTGGACTAGCTATATTAATATCAAAGAATTCATATAAGGAATATTAAAAGGGCTACTATACCAGGAAATATATAATCCTAAATTTATGCACCTAGCAAAAGAGCTTCAAGATTCATGAAGCAAAATCTGATATAAAATCACAGATATAGTTGGAGAATTCAGTAGTTTTCTTAGCAATTGATAAATCAAAATGACAGAAAGTCAGTAAGTAAGCACACAGAAGATGTTGAATAACACTACCACCCAATTGGACATATTTGCCGCTTAGAGAGCACTTCATCCAACTGTAGTTGGATACACATTCCTTTCAAGTGCATCTGGAACATTCACCAAGATAAATCATTCTGGGCTACAAAACAAACCATACGAAATTTAAAAGAAATAAAATCAGATAAAGTATGTTCTCTGACCCAAATGGCATTAAACTGTATCGAGCAAGTGATACCTGTTGCCTACCACCAGAAACTGCATCCCAGAATGTCGACCCACTGCATTGTTTGCAGGTGTTGAGGTACCCATAATACCAGGAACACCCATATGTCTATAAATTTGATAATTTAAACAAAATGTACCAGTTTCTTAAAAGACACATTACTAAAGCATATACAAAAAATAATAACATGAATAGTCCTATAACTCCTAAAGAAACTGAATTTATAGATTAAAAACCTCCTAACAAAGGAAACTTAGGGTCAGATGGCTTTACTGGTATATTCTAGCCAAACCTTTAAGGGGAAAAAAATGATTCTAATTCTACACAAAATCCTCAAAAAATTAAGAGGTGAAACCTAAGTCATTTTATGAAGCTACCATTTCCCTGATAACAAAACCCAACAGTGAATCACAACAGAAAATTACTGCCTAATGACCTTCATGAACATAGACACAAAAATCCTCAACAAAATGTTATCACATTCAGCAATTTGTAAAACTGATAATGTATCATGACAAAATGATATAGATTATGGAAATGCAAATCATTTCAGTATATAAAAATCAAACTACATATCAACAGGAAAATAAATCGATGCAGAAAAAGCATTTAACAAACATCAATTCATGATTAAAAAAAAAAGAAACACCTAGGTACTAAAAGGAACTTTCTTCAAGTTGGTAATGTTGACAAAATATTGGTAACATCATTTTTAATGGTGAAAGACTGAACCCAAAGTTTGGAAACGAGGTAAGGACTTCTGCTCTCACTGCCCCATGTCAACATCATATGGGAGGTACTAGCTAAGGAGAGAAAAAGAAAAGATAGGCAGTAAAGGAAGAAATAAAACTGTGTGTGCAGAAGACGGTTTTACATTGAAAAGCCCAAAGAAAACAAAAAAGCTAGTAGAACTAATAAGTGAGTTTATCAAAGTCCCAGGAAACAAGGTAAATATATAACAATCACTATACTAGTATTGAACCATTGGGAATTGAAATTAAGAAAGAAAATAGCACCAAATATATAATGGTGGGGAGTTGAGTGTTTGTGATCTCTATGCTGCATAATACAAAATACGAAAGATTTAAAGATGATTTTTTAAAAACTCCCCAAGAGACATTTGACATGGTCATGAAATGGAATATTGTTAAGCCATTTAGCCTAGATTGACCTATAAATGCAACATAGTCCCACTCGATATCTCAGTAGTTTTTGCAGAAATTGACAAGCTATTTTTAAAATCTATACAAAAAGTAAAATAAAAATGGCCTAAATATAAAAAATGAAGAACAACGTTGAAAGATTCACAGTATCCGATCTTAAGACTTACTGTAAAGCTACTGTAATCAAGACAGTGTGGTATTAGTGAAAAGACACATAGGACAGTAGAACATAATAGAGTCTAGAAGTAGACCCACATATGTGTGGTCAATTGATTTTTGACAAAGGTACCAAAGCAATTCAATAAGAGAAACAGAATTTCAACACTGCAGGAATAATTAAATATGCATGCGCAAAAGAATGAATCTCAACCTATATATCACATATAAAAATTAACACAAAATGGGTCTTAGACCAAAATGTAAATCCTAAACAATAAAAGTTCTAGAAAAAAAATATGAGACAGTTCTTTGTCACCTTGTGTTAGTCAAGGAGTTCTTAGTATGGTCCATATAAGAAAATTTGACAAATTAGACTTCATCAAAATTTAAAACTCTCTTTTCAAAAGACACCTATGAAAATAGAGAAGCTACAGACTGGGAGAAAATATTCAAAACGTAAAAAAAAAGGACTTGTATTCAGAATACTATAAAGAACTCTCAAAGCTCCATACAGTACTAAGAAAAAACCCATTTAAAAAAAAAATAGACAAAAGCTTTGAACAGGCAGTTCACCAAAGAACATATATGAATGTCAAATCGGCACATGGTACTGTGATCAACATCTCTAGTCATTAAGGAAATTCAAGTTAAATCACAGTGAGATAGAACTACACACCTATTACAATGACCCAAATGAAGAAAACGACAATATTAAGTGAAGAAAAAGATGCAGAGCAACTGGAACTGTCAGACATTGTTGTAGAAATACAAAATATCTTAAAACACAGTGTGCCAGTTTACGAAGAACGCACACATAGCATACATCACGGCAATCCCGTTAAAAGAGGTTTATATAAAGACCTTTATGTAGAAGTTTATAATAGCATTATTATAAATGCGAAACCTTGAAACAACCCAAATGCCCTTTCGCTGGAGAAAAAAATCAAACCATGTCATATCTATGTAATGGAATATTACTCAGCAAGAAAAAGAACAAATGACTGATAAACAACATAGATGAATCTCAAATAATGTTAAGGTTTGCAAGTTTTTGTGTTTTTGCCTTAAAATACATTTCGTATTTGAAAATTTGTCAAAATAATTTCATGCTTCAGTTGATTTTTTTTTTTTTTTCCAAAAAAGATTTTCATTTGACTGTCATGAGTCTGGGGGCATTTGCAATTCAATATTACTTTTACACAATGTCAGAGATATCGCTGATTTGGAACTGGGCTTCAGAACCTACCAGGGCAGATTTATACCTAGTCGTCTTTATCCTGGGGCGCGGTGGTTCCTGGTGTCCAACAAAAAATGTAGGAGTTTTACCAGTTTCAAATTCTTGGCAGGCACTGGACTCCAGCTTTTACAACCTCAGCCCCAAGACAGTTTCAAAGAGTAGTGTCTCGCTCAGCCTTGGAGTTGCCAGAACTGGCTAGTGTCCCTCAGGGGAAAAGTGGCTCCAAGTAACTGGCTCTCTTCTCTAGATTTCCCTATTCTGAATTTTGGACCGTTGATTCATTCTCTGCACGTTGTTAGCTCACTGACGCTTATGGGGAAAGTGACCCGTTTCCCTCTTAGTTCTTCTAGCTGGCCGAATAATTCAAATGACATACAGCAGATTAACAGGAGAAAATCTAGTTTTAATATGTGTACATGAGGAATTCACATAAGCATGGAAATTCCAAAGACAGGCAAAATGAGGTAAATAGGTCATTCAGAACTGAGGGGAAAGTAAGGCAATTCACAGAGGGATGAAAAGAGTTATTATTTAGTAAACCAAAGTGTATGGCACCATCTTGGAACAATGGGACAAAGAGAGGACTTTGATCAAATGGACCTTCTAAGTTCCTCCTTGTCTAGCCCACCCTGTTCACATTAAAATATAGTTATCTATGATGCTAGCTCCCTTCCTGGAGCAAGTCCTTTGTCTAAATTCTTTTAGGCTGTAAGGTGGGAGGTCAAAGGTTCTTCCTAAGCCTTCTGAGCCTTGATTGTTTTCAGCTCTGAAATAATCTGCATGCCAGAGTGGCATATCTTGGGGCCATTCGTTTTGGACCCTTACAGTATGTGTATGCTGTGTGGGTGTGTGTCCCGTCCATGGGATTAACTTATTTTGCCATTACTCAAAAGTGGAAGCCTTCATTATACTTTGAATTTGATGTCTTTTTTTTTTTTATTCATACAGCACTTGGTCTTCCTATGTGGACTCCCATCCAAGTACTAACCAGGCCCAACCCTGCTTAGCTTCCGAGACCAGACATTGGGCTTGTTCAGGGTGGCATGGCTGTAGACTATGGACTGTGGCTCCACTGGGGTGTGAACCCAGGACCTTCTGCTTGTAAAGCAGATGTGCTAACTGCTACACTATGGAACCACATCCTGATGGTCATTTTTATCTGCAAATTTATCTTCCCTATTAATCCTGTTTAAAATGTGAAACTACAAAACAATTATCACTAAAAGTTTTTCCTTTGGGGCAGAATCATTTGATCTGGTTCCTTAAAATGGCACTTTACTTTAAAACCATTATTTTTCACATATTTACTTTTTTTTTTTTTTTCTATTCAGAGGTTCTTTGCCCAGGATTTGAATTGGCTTCAGTTGGTCTTTGTTCAGATATTTCTAGTACCACTTATGAAGTGGTCTTTTTTCTCAGAAGATAGTAACTTAAATCTAATCAGGTCTTTAGATTTAAATTTTACTTTACAGAAACGCACAGAAGAAGAAATTATTCAATGATGAAAAATAAACAATGGGAGAAATCCAGATTGTGCTACATCATGACAACTGACCTGATTCCTCAACAGGTCAAAGGTCAGAAAAAAGGAGTGATGGGATAATATTCAAGAATAAATGCACCTGAGTAGATAAATAAAATGAATGGACTGTTTGTACATTGACTTGAATAAACCAGTTATGAGAGATTTTTAAGGGAAATTTGGATACGGATTGGGTATTAGGAAATATTAAAGAATTATTGTTAATTTTATTCAATCCATTATAATGGATTATGGTTTTGAAAATGTTTATTTTAAAAATATTTAGCAAAGGATTTTATATATGCACACATCACAACATTTCCTTGTTACCTGCAATGGAGTTGCTTTTGATTCCCATAACCACCAATATTAGAAAAAAAAAAGGATATAGGTGTATTATAGCCTCATCAATGTTTACATCTTTGTTTTGTAAATTCTTAGCATATTGAAATTCCACAAAACACTGCCAAGAAATCTTAGGTGCCTTGTGCAATAAAGGAGGCAGAGGAATCAAACACTTTATTCCGTTCCCTCCTCCTGGCTTGGATAACTTGGACACTGAAGAGCGAGACTTCTTACATACCTGCCTCTCTCCTCCCACAATTTACTGTCTACATTAAGAATTCAGTCGTTATTAGCTTGTCCTTACTACTCCAATCGTACTGTCGTTACGATTCTTGCCCAAGTAAGTAGCTAGATTGTTCATCAGGAACTTCCACAAACACCCTTCAGTTCTTCAATCTCTTCCAAAGAAAACATCAACAGTTTGTACCTATAGATTTCTTGCCCTGCAAAAATCCATGATGTTCTCACTCCTCCTGGACTATAGCTCCGTGGACTTTACGCAGTCCTAATCAAGTCCCTCGCGTTGAAAGACACGCCTTAAACCAAACTTCCAATTCTCAGTAAATTTCAGCCTCGCCCTCCTTGCTCTGACACTTAGCTGTCAAGGTGTCAAAACTGTCGAGGTAGTGTGCTCCCTTACCGCGATAAGCAGTAAATTCCGTTTTTGTCTTATCCACAGGTTGTATTGGTGATATTTGGGGAGCCGGCATTTGAAACAAGTTTGAGATCTAATGTCCCTTAAGCTCTGTGTTAGGCAGCTCAGCCTAAGTCACTTTCACGTTTCTCATTTATAGCCTACCCTTTGCTTCCCCTTAAGACGTTCGGTTTGGGGGCTTATTTTCATAGTGCAAGCTTCGTTTTTCTCTCTTAATCTGCTACGGATTCAAGAATTCGCAGCTATTTTCTCATAAGCTTTAAGAAATGAATAAAACAAAAAGGTATCTGCCAGTTACAGTGCCACAGAAGTGACTCAAACCGAACTCTACAGTTAAGACAGAAGCCCACGGGTGAAAAGTGCGGTCCTGCGAGCTGCATCCTGGGAAATGTGGTCCGGGAGCGCGTAGCCTCGGAGGCGCCTTCCCTTGGGGATTCTGGGAAGTGTAGTCCGGCAACCGTGTGTAGTCGGAGGCACTTCCGCTCCGGGAAGGCGAGGTCCGGGCCGAGATTGCGCGCGGTGAGGTGCGTTAACACTGCATCCCGGCGGTCCCTCTTACCCTCCTCGGCCTCGGCGTGGGGTAAGCAGTGCACTTGTCCTCGCTCTCTGGTGCGGGACGCCGTGGCTGGCTGCAGAAGGCGGACCCGGAGTTGGTGCGCGTCCGTTCCGCTGGGGCTCTCGCGACGGGGCGCGCGTGCGGGAGACTTCGAGTTCTAGGGTCTCCCTCACTCTCCACTGCCCCAGCCCGTTCGGAGACCCACTGGTCGGCTCTGCCTCTTCGTGATAAAATGTTGGGTGAATTACTTGATCCCTTCTTGCTTCAGTTCCTCTTGGCTAAAAAGGGTCGGTTCCTTCCTAGTGGTGTTCTTGTGAGAATATTAAAAGCCGAAAAACAGTGCCTAGTAAAATGTTGGTTGTTGCCATCAATTCCGTTATGATAATTCCGATCAGGAAGGCGCCCCGTTATTTGGAAGCTCCCGCGAGCCCGGGATGGGGTCGGAGCGCCGGCTGCAGCGCCGCTGCTCGCTTCTCATGCCCGATGCGGGGCTGCACCTGGTCGCTTTGCAGCCTCTTGTTTGGGAAGGAGAGTGATCTTCAGCTGGGTCCTGGGGAACGTCCTCTGGGGTCTATCCGGGCCGGAGAAAGTCGTGATCTAGGCTTCGCGGGGTGCCTGACGACTGCACGTGTGGTGAGGTCTTAATAAGCGTGCAGTGCTGTGCCATAACCCGGTGTCGTTGGTTTAAATGCGACGGGATTTCTTAAGGCTTCGGTTTTTATTAGTCATTGTTTAACTTCTCGCATGGGTGAGAAGAAACTTTGTTGAAGCTTTTCCAGCTTAATAACATTTGCAAGTAATTACATCTGTTAGAAGGGAAGAATCTGGCACTTCAACCATCATTGCCAACGATGGTCTGTGAGACAGCCGTCAGAAGAATTAGACTTTTCTAAGAGTAACAGTAACTCATGGGACAGAATGAATTCTAGGTTTCTTAAAAGATTCATTTTCTGGAAAGCGCTTTCACAGGAACCGTTTTAGGAAACAAAACCACTGCGTATCTTTAGCTGCAAGAAATTGGGCATACCGGCATTATTATGGTCACTTACAGGTGCCTGGAATGAGGCGCGAAGAGATTAATAACTTGCTCAAGGTTTACGCTGCTAGGGAGTAAATAGAAAGTAATAAGTAGAAATGCTAGAATTTGCACTTGGGCATTTTGGCCCCATTAAGTGATACTGCCTGCATGTTTGCCTCTCATTTCCTCTGATACACAGGCTCAGGAATGCTCTGGAAGCTACAAGAAGCACTTAGGTTAGGGCTGTTTTAAGAATTGTTCATGAACAATGGCAGGTGGCTGATGGGACCCAGGGGAAGCTAGAATCCAGCCCTGTCTCACTAAGGTTTGTGGCCACTGCTTAGAGGGACACCTCTTCCTGTTCCCACGAAGTGTCACATAAACTAGCAGCACCCCTAGCATCTCTCTCATGATGGCTTTCCCTTCCCCAGTTTGCCTTCCCAGAACTCTGCTTTTCCTCAAAAGGAAGAGGAGAAAAAATGACCAAGTTCCAGGTAAGTTGGGTTTTCCTTTCTGTTTCTTAAAATGACATCTCATTTCACAAAGGTTGGACACACTTTTCTCCTGCACGGGAAGGGTAAAAAGAAACCAGAGGCACTTGACAAATTGTTGTATGCGAGGCTCTTGCTTTTTGCTTATTTCCAAATAATATTGGGAAAATCAATATAGGTTTTTTTTTAATAAAAAATAACTTCCACTTTATAAACATATTTACAAATTTCTTGTTTATTTTCCCACATTCCTTTTCATTTGCATTTACATGTATGTATTTGTAATAATAGTTTGAGTACTTTTTTGCAGTTTTTAAGTTTAATTTTGGATCACCAGCAACTTAAATGGCCACATCGTTTTTCACAGTATACCTAATATTTTCTCCCTTCTCTCTTCATCTTTATTTATGTGGTTTATGAATTTTGCCATTTTAAAGATGTTTGCAATGACAGTTTTTCTACATATAACCTTTCTTCCCAAACAGGAATTCTGAGAATTCTACCATTTCTTTTTTCTCTCAAAAGTTCCAGGGACTCAGTTGTTTTCTCACACGTGGTGCCTCACATTTTGTGAAAAGAACGTCTAACGGCTTGTTGAAAAGGGTCAGAGCAAAGAATTTTAGTTGTTTTCATTTTATTATTATTATTTTTTTAGATGAGGCCACCCTTGGTTGACTTCACAGATTGCAAGGACCTTGTCAGCTTACAATCCCTTATATTTTTTATTTTTTAACGCCTGCAGCACCTGGTTTTCCTAGGTGGTCTCCCATCCAAGTACTAACCAGGCCTGACCTTGCTTAGCTTCCGAGATCAGATGGGATCTGGCTTGTTCGTGGTAGCATGGCTGTAGACTATTTTAGTTGTTTTCAAACAAAAAGCTAGATTTTTAAATTCTAAGTTAATTTCTGTGTAGTTAAGTATTTGTTTCATTCTGTTAGTATATTATAAAGAAGCACGTCCTTGGTCTGGTGACACCAGGGAGTTGCCAGGCATTTGCTCCGTGGAACAGCTGCGTGAGGAAATGGACAGTCTTGTCTGCATTTTAACATAAACAGGCTTGTGAACTTTCGGATGCCATCCTCAGCTGACACCTAAAAATAAAAGACCAAAACCGAAATCCAAAAGTATAGCTATTTGGGGAAACAGTGCTTCAAGCAGAAACCCAAATAGTGTTCTGATTAGCAGACAAAGGCGAGGGGGATTCTGAGAAAGGGAACAGTTCCATCAATAGGAGGAAGGCATTTCTATAGCTGGAGATAAGCTAACGTAGTGCCGCTTATAAGAATGTCTTTCCTTTTCAGTTCTGCTGTCTTAATGTCTGCTTTCCTATTAGCTTTGCAAACAGTTCTTAGGAATACAATGCTGCTCTAGGCCCAGCCCAAAGGTTATTTTGCACAGTTTTAACATTCCAGTAAAACTCGCAAGGCAGTTCCTCCAGGTGGCTTTGTTTATATTATTTTTTACACGCTGAAGTTTCAATTACCTGAGCCAGGAGTTTCAGGTGTCCTGTTAGGGTAAGTGGAGAGACCATTCAGGGGCCAGAGGCCACGTTGCCTGTATACCTGCCATGTCTGAAGGGCCGCAGAAATAACATTGCCCTCACCTGCGGTACTACCCAGGGCGAGAAGGAGGTGGGCCCTATTAAATACTGTTGAGACTGAAATTAACTCAATTGCTTACAGAGCTCCACACTGTCAGTCTAATTGTAAAATGTGTGTATGCCCTGATTTAACAGTGACAGTTCTAGAGACTTTAACTGCATAAAGGGAACCATGTTACATGTACACAGCTTTTTAATTTTTCTTTTCATGCCCTCCTTCCACTCTCATCTCCCGACATTCACAGTGTGACTGAGGAAGGAAAAAGGGGGAACCTCTACTAAAAAGACTTGTTCGGGTCCCTTAGAATCTGGAACAGCTTCGTGCATATCTCTTCCCGCTTCTCAGCGCTGCCCCTCTCCCAGTGCAGGTCGGTGGTGAGATTGAGGTTGCCTGTGATTGGTGTTGTAGGAGGCAGTGACGTTCAAGGACGTGGCTGTGGTCTTCACCGAGGAGGAGCTGGGGCTGCTGGACTCTGCCCAGAGGAAGCTGTACCGAGACGTGACGCTGGAGAACTTCAGGAACCTGGTCTCAGTGGGTGAGGACAGGCGTCCTCTGTCACATGGCTTCAGGCCTTTGAGCAGGGTTTCTTACCCTTGGCACTGTTGATGTTTTGGGCCGATAGTTCTTTGTTGTGGGGACCGTCCTGTGCATTTTAGGGTGTTTAGTGGCTTTGCTAGCCTCGTCCCACAGCTTCAAGGTTACCACTCCCCAGAGGCCAGAGTTTTCCAGACCCTTTGGGACCTAGAGATGAGACTTTCCTACTCTTTGCTCCAAGGCCAAGTGTAAATGAATAGGTGGCTGTGGCTGTACCTGGCTCTTCCTTTCATATATCTTTTTCAACTTGTGGGTCCTGATCATTGGTGGGTCATGAAATTAATTTAGTAAGTTGCATCAAAATGTTTGATAAACACTGTTTTGGGGGCGGGGTGGAGCCTTCATAGGATGTTTTGGTACTTTTTACCTGGAAAGTTGTCACTTAACTCTTCATCTTTTCACAGGGCATCAGTCCTCCAAACCAGATGTGATATCCCAGTTGGAAAGAGAAGAGAAGCTCAGGACGACGGAGGCCAGCCAGGCTGAAGCGGGTAGGCATTCAGGGGAGAACCGTGCAGGTGGGGTCCTTGTGGGTCACGGCCGTTGTTCTGCCTGTTCTGGGTGATGTGCTCCCCACACAGCAGCCTGAGAGAGTCACACCACATCACTCCTCTGCGTCGCACTGTCCGCTGGCTTCCCATTTCCCTCAGGACAAAACCCAAATATTTAAGATGCCCGGAGGCCCTGTAGTGTTTGCTCAGTCACCTGGCTTTACCTCTACGTTCTTCTGCCATTTCCTCTTCGCTTTGGCTCTGCCAGCCTTGCTGGTTCCTCACACATGACGGTTCTGCTTCCGCATCAGGACCTTTTACTCTCTTTTCTCTGGCTGGAATGTTGCTTTCCTGTAAACCTCCAGCCCCTCTTACTTATTCGTGTCTCTGCCCAGGTGTCATTTCATCCAAGGCCTTCCCTGACCACTCTGTTAAAAATACTGCCTTCCTTCTGATCTCGGAAGCCAAGCAGGGTCGGGCCTGGTTAGTACTTGGATGGGAGACCACCTAGGAAGACCAGGTGCTGTAGGCATAAAAAAATTTAAAAAAATAAGGGATCGTAAGCTGACAAGGTCCTTGCAATCTGTGAGGTCAACCAAGGGTTGCCTCGCCTAAAATAAACAAACAAATAAATAATAAAAAAAATTGCCTTCCCTACTCTCTCCACATCCTTAACTTGGCATTAATTTGCGTCTAACCAGACTTATTAGCCTATATATACTTTCAGTTGTGGTAAAATATACATAACATAAAATTTATCATTTTAACTGTCTTAAATGCGCAGTTCACTGGCATTAAATACATTCACATTGTCGTGCATCAGCACGCTTCACCTCCAGAACTTTTTCATTATCTCAAACCGAAACTCTGTACACATTAAAAAAATAACAACAAAAAAAATGACCATCCACTCTCCCCTCATACCAGTCCCAGTGATTACCGTCTGTCTCTATGAATTTGACTGTTCCCTGTACCTCATTATAAGTGGAATCATACAGCGTTTGTACTTTTGTGTCTGGTTTATTTCACTTAGAATATCTTCAAGGTTTATCCATGCTTAGCATGTGTCAGAATTGCTAAATAATATTGTATGCATATACCACATTTTTTTATCTGTTGATGGACACTTGAGTGGTTTGCCTAATACTTAATTCCTAAGTTTTTTATTCTTTTTGATGCTGTTGTAAATGGAAACGTTTTAATTTCCTTTTGGTTATTGTGAATAATGCTGCTATGTACATGGTTGTGCTAGTATCTGCTCGAATCCCCAGCTTTCCATTCTTTTGTGTATGTACCCAGAGTAGAATTGCTGGATCATACAGTAATTCTGTTATTAATTTTTCTGAAAATGACAGACTGGTTTTCCCACAGCAGCTGGACCATTTTATGTTCCCACCAGCAATGTACAAGGGTTCCAATTTGCCTCATCCTCGCCAATATTTTATCTCCCCTTTTTTAAAATAATAACCATCCTAATGGGCGTGAAGTGGTATCTCCTTGTCTGGATTTGCATTTCTCTAATGATTAGTGATGTTGAGTATCTTTTCAAGGGCTTATGGGCCATTTGTAGATCTTTGGAGAAATGTCCGATCTTTTTCTCATTTTTTAACCAGGTGTTTTTTGTTGTTGAGATTTTTTAGGAGTTCTCTGTGTATTCTGAATGTTAATCCCATGTCAGATACAAGATTTGCAAGTATTTTCTCTCATTCCGCGTGTTGCCTTTTTACTCTTATTGATAGGTTCCTTTGATGCACAAAAGTTTTTACTTTTAATGAAGTCAAACTTATCAATTTTTGTTGCCGTTGCCTGTGCCATACCTGAGAAATCATTGCCGAATCCAATGTCATGAAGCTTTTTTTTTTGAAGTTGACATTTAATATTATATTAGTTGCAAGTGTATAACGTCATGAAGCTTTTGCCCTGTGTTTTCTTTTAGGAGTTTTATAGGTTTAGCTTTTGTGTATAGGTCTTTGACTCATTTGAGATAATTTCTGTATATGGTGTCATTCTTTTGCACAGATATCCAGTTTCCCAGAATCTTTTGTTGAAAAGGCATCCCTTTCCCCATCGAATAGTCATGGCACCCTTGTCAAAAATCATTTGACCGTGTGTGCAGTGGTTTATTTCTGGGCTCTCTGGTCTATTCCCTTGATCCGTGTGTATCTCTCTCTCTCTGTCAATACTACACTGTTTGGATTACTGTCTTTATAGTAAGTTTTCAAATCAGGATATGAATCCTCTAACTTTTTTCTTCTTTCTCAGGATTGTTTTGGCTATTTGGGTTCCCTTGAGGTTTCCTGTGAATTTTAGGATAGGTTTTTCTATTTCTGTGTTGTTGGAATTTTGACAGGGATTGCATTGACTCTCTGTATCCCTTTGGGTAGCATCAGCATCTTAACCATATTAAATTTTCCAACACAAGAACATGAGATGTCATTCTATTTTTTAATGTCTTTAATTTATCAACGTTTCATAGTTTTTGGTGTACAGATCTTTCACCCCCTTGGTTAATTCCTAAGTATTTTATTATTTTTGATGCTATCATAAATGGAATTGTTTCCTTAATTTCTTTTTCAGATTGTTCGTTATGTATGGAAATGCAACTGATTTTCGTGTGTTGACATATGCTTCTACTTTGCCAAATTTATTTATTAGTTTTAACAGGTCTTTGCTTGTTTGTTTGTTGGAATCCATATTCCCAGCCAGGCAGTCAGTCATCTCTCACCCCATCCATCCTGTCCTCTCTATCCCTCCCTCTGATACTTAAACAATCACATGACCTACGTGAAGTTTTCTGGTACAAGTTTCAAATGTCATATTTACAGAAGTCACTGATACGGCTGTGTTGATAAGGAGACTCCTGTGTAGAAAAAGAGAAGAAATTACTGAAATGTTGACCCTTTTGCAATTCTGAGTAAGTTCAAGTGTAATTTGCATAATTTGCTAATACTCTTAACTAATTTATCATGTTACGAGAAGCACTTTATCTGCGTTTAATCCTTAGGTGATGTAATTATGTTTTTTATAGAATGAAACGTAATGCCTTAGAGAATTATCACATAGCTTCTAAATCGGTAAGTCTAGAGTTAGAAACTGTTTGCTCTTAGCAGAGCCCCTGATTTGAGCCTGTTCACATTGTCGCAAATGCCTGAACTGCCAGTTGGCCATTTCCCTCCGAGAGCAACATCGACAAAAGTAGAAGAATTTCAGAAATGTATAAAACCTAGAAAATCAGTTAATTCTAAAATCGTGTATGTGCATCACGGGGACATACATGATAAGAAATGATTTAACGGGATACCGTTTGTGGTCACACAGTTGGGTTCAGTTTTAACTCTCATTATCACATCTCTTTCTGTTATTGAAAATCGACCTGATGCATCAGTTGTCATCAGTCTCTGCTATTTCTGTTTTATCTGTCCTTCCACTTTTGCTGGAATATGTAATACCACCCATAGATATATCAGCATCTATGTATAACAACTGTTGTCATTCAGTACCCATCTGTGATCAGTATGGACTCGTGCATATTTATTTTAGACTTTGGGTAATAATCCAGTATTGCATTACGTTACTGCTTTGACTGGAGCTCTTTCAGGTTAGCTCCTAGATGCCTTCCTCATGCCCCTCTCCTTAGATGTTTTGGAGCATTTCCTTACTGTCTGACTCTACATCAGGGGTCCCTAACCCCCTGGGCTGCAGACCGGTACTGGTCTATGTTAAAAACCGGGCTACACAGCAGGAGGTGAGCGGCGGGCGAGCAAAGCTTCATCCATATTTGCAGCCGCTCCCCAGCGCCAGCATCACCGCCCCAGCTCATCAGGCTTTAGATTCTCATAGGAGCACCGGTCCCTGGTCCCAGAAAGGCTGGGGACCGCTGGCCCTACATGATGCCCTGCCACATCTTGTATTCTTGCCCAGCCTTAAACTCAGCCGCTTGTCCAAGGACCTTGATTCCTTTCATTGGAGAACGGCATTGGAAACCAATATCTGTGCACTAGTCAAAAATGCCTTTTAATCAGCCTTATTAAGAAACAATTTACATGTAAAAAATTCACCCTTTTCAAAAACAAACTCATAATTTTAGATTTACAGAAATATCGCATGGCTAGTATGGAGAGTTGCCATAAACTCTCCACCTGCTTTCCCCCGTCATTAACGCCTTACGTTACCATGAGAAATTTGTCAAAACTGCAAAATTCACAGTTGTACATTACTACTAAGTAAACTCCAGACTTTATTTGGATTTTGCTGCTTTTCGGTTCATGTTCTCTTTCTGTCCCAGAATCCAACCCAGGGTACCACGTTGCATGTAATTTCATTCTCTCCTAGTCTCCTGGAGTCTCTTGACAGCTTTTCATTATTTCTGTTTTTCATAGTCGGGGAAATTCACACTTTAAAAAAAAATTATATTAAAAAACTAACAAAATTTACCATCTTCACCATTTCTAAGTGGACAGTTCAGTAGTATTGAGTATATTCACGTTATTGGAGCAATCAGTCTCCAGGACTTTTTTATCTTGCAAAACTGAAACTCTCTGCCCATTGAACCACAACTCCCTATGTCCTCCTGTCCCCAGCCCCTGGCACCCACCATTCTACTTTGTCTCTGTGCAGATTCACCCTGATCAAGTATATCATTTGATAAGTTGGCAAATGTATCTATCAGTCATGTAAACAGTACCACAATCAAGATAACATTTCCATGACCCCAGCATTTGCACTCATGCCCATTTACTGTCCCTTCTCACTCCCAGGCAACCAGTGTCACTGGTTTTTTTTTTTCCAAACGTTTATACAAATGGAATCAACAATATATTGTTGTTTTGATCGGTTTCTTTTCTTACAATTTTTTTTTTTTGAGATGTGTGTTTCCGTAGTTATTTTTTTTTTTCCATTCTATTGCTGAGCAGTATTTCTCAGTATTTCATGGCGTAGTATGACTTATACTATTTCTTTGTCTATTCATCATTTTGAAGGACTTGGGTTGTTTCTCATTT